TTGAAAAATGGCATCTGAGAAGTCCCAGGAGGAAATAAAATGAGATTGGAATTCCCAAAAGCCCCATCTCCAGAGAATTATCACTATTTGATCTTTCTAGCAGCTCCTTTAAAAGCTTCATTCTCAGGGTTTGTCTTTATTTGGCTTTAGGTTGGTCTGTATGAACAGCCTATGACTAGGGAATTTGTCAGAGATAATCATTAGCTATTATTCAACATCACAGCTGTCTGAGGCAGTGCTATCAGTTGAGGCTTACAAGAGACTGGCTAGAAAACTTAACAACAAAAAAGTTAAATTAGATCTCCACAGGGGACATCTGAACATTCATAGCTCCAACATATTCCACGGGATTTAGAAGGCCACATACATGTGTGCATTCCCAGAAAAGACCTAAGAAGGCCTGAGGATCTGTAAAAGTGGCAAGTGAAGAATGAGGCAGAATTGTAAAGTGAAAGACTGTTGAAGACATGGCCTGACACAAGTTCTTGCCTTGGTAAAGGTTGGGAGACTTATTGGTTCAAGGTATTTAGGGACATCTCTGTTCAATCACTAGATGACCACCAAATTAACCAAGCTTAGGTACCTGTGGCTACACATGACAATGAATAAAGATTTTACAAAGTTAGTCAGGGGAAGTCACTGAAATAACAGTAAGTGTATTAATCTGTTCCCATGCTGTGAATAAAGGCATACCAGGGATTGGGTAATTAATAAAGGAAAGAGGTTTAAATGACTTACAGTTCCACATGACTGGGGAGGCCTCACAGTCATGGCTGAAGGCAGATGAGGATCAAAGTCACATCTTACATGGTAGCAGACAAGAGAGCTTGTGAAAGTGAATTCCCCTTTATAAAACAATCAGATCTCATGAGAACTTATTCATTATCACGAGAACAGCATGGAAAAGATCTGCCCCCCAAGATTCAGTTATCTCCCACTGGGCCCCTTCCACAACATATGGGAGGTATAATTGAAGATGAGATTTGGGTGGGGACACAGCCAAACCGTATCAGCAAGCAAACAAAAAGCAGCAGTAAATCCCAAGGAAGGGGCAGAAACTGATTTTCAGAAGTGTCACATTATATTATGTAAAATGTCAATTTTTGCCTGGGTGCTGTGGCTCATGCCTGTAATCCCAATGCTTTGGGAGGCCAAGACAGGTGGATCACTTGGGGTCAGGAGTTCAAGACCAGCCTGACCAACATGACGAAACCCTGTCTCTACTAAAAATACCAATATTAGCTGGGTGTGGTGGCATGTGCCTGTAATCCCATCTACTGGGGAGGCTGAGGCTAGAGAATCACTTGAACTCAGGAGGTGGAGGTTGCAGTAAGCCAAGATTGCACTATTGCACTCCAGCCTGGGTGATAAAGTGAGAATCCATCTTGGAAAAAAAATCAATTTTTAGCAACAAAAAATTATCACAGAGAAAGAAAGGAAATATGGTCTGTATGCAGGAAAATAAATTGTTCATAGAAACAGTGTTTGAGGAAGCACAGATGTTGGATTTACCACACAAGGACTTTAAATTAGCTATTATGTTCAAAGGACTAAAGAAAAGCCTATATATAAAGACTTAAAAGAAAGTACAATAATGATGGATTACCAAATAGAGAATATCAACAAAGAGATAGAAATATTCTTTTTTTAAAAAAGAATCAAATGGAAAATCTGTAGTTGAAAAATGCAATAACTGAAGTAAAACATTAATCAGAGAGTTGAAACAGCAGATTAGAACTGGTAGGAGAAAGAGTCAGTAAACTTGAAGATAGGTCAACTAAAAATATGCAGTTTGAGGGAAAGAAAGAAAAAATAATCAAATAGAAGGTATAGAGCCTCAGAGACTTGTAAGACAACATCAAGCATAGCAGCCTATGCATAATGGGAATCCCAAAAGGAAAGTTAAAGGCTATCAACTAGGAATTCTTTTTTTTTTTTTTGAGACGGAGTTTTTGCTCTCGTTACCCAGGCTGGAATGCAATGGCGCGATCTCGGCTCACCACAACCTCCGCCTTCTGGGTTCAGGCAATTCTCCTGCCTCAGCTTCCTGAGTAGCTCAGATTACAGGCATGCGCCACCATGCCCAGCTAATTTTTTGTATTTTTAGTAGAGACAGGGTTTCACCATGTTGACCAGGATGGTCTTGATCTCTCGACCTCGTGATCCACCCAGCTCGGCCTCCCAAAGTGCTGGGATTACAGGCTTGAGCCACCGCGCCCGGCCTCAACTAGGAATTCTATATCCAGCAAAACTCTACTTCCAAAATAAAGTAAAGAAGGCAACAGAAAGTATATGTGAAAAAACAATGGCCAAAAACTTCTCAAATTTGATTTTAAAAATTAGTCTGAACATAAAAGAATTCAACAAACTACAAATAGGATAATCTCAAAGAGATCTAGACCTAAAAACACATAATTTAACTGTTGAAAGCCAAAGATGAAGTGGAAATCTTAAAAGCAGAAAGAAAAAAGAACTAATCATGCAGAAAGGCGCCTCAACAAGATTAACAATGATCTTACCAGCAGAAATGATGGAGTTCAGAAGGCACTGAGATGACATTGCAAAGGACTGAAAGTTAAAGGCTATGAACTAAGGATTCTATATCCAATAAAACTGTATTTCCAAGATAAAGGAAAAAGATGTTTCCATATAAACAGAAATTAAGAGGATTTGTTGCTGGCAGACCTGCCCTCCAGGAAATACCAAAGGAAATCTTTTAAACTGAAAAGAAAGGGCACTAGACAATAATTTGAATTCACCCAAAGAAATAGGCACTAGTAAAAGTAATTACATAGGTAAATGCAAAAGACAGTAAAAATGTACTTTGTAATTATTTTCTTCTTATTAAAATCAGCTTATTGCACAAACCCAGAATTATAGACCTATGTAATGGGCCCATAATGTATACATATGTCGTGTTTATAACACTAGTAGTAAAATGGGTTGGGAAGAACAGACCTATATTGGAACATAGCTTTGGCATACTATTTAAACTAAGTCAATATTATTGCAAAGTATAGTGTTTTCAGTTAAGATGTTAATTGTAATACCCAGGAAAACAAGTTAAAAATAATTTTAAAATATTTGATAAAGGAAACAAAGGAATTATAATGGTATAATATAAAACATATACTTAACACACAAGAAAGCAGTAATGGAGACATAAAGAAACAAAAAAGATATAAGACGAACATAAACCAGAGACCCAAATCACAGATGTAAATAATACCTTCTCAGTAATAGTATTACATGGAAATAAACTTAGGATTTCAATCAAAAGGCAAAGATCAGTAAAATGAATAACTTTAAAAAACATGATCCATGTTACAAGCAAACTTAGAAAAAACTTTCAGATGAATGCAAATAAAAATAGAACATACAAAAACTTAATGAGATACAGAGAAAGTAATGCACAGAGGAAAATGTATAGCTGCAAATGAGCCCCTTACTGCAGTCAGAGCGCACCCGTCCTTTGTGTCTCTGCCTTTTTCATTCTTCCCTGGGAGCCACTGTCTGTAGACCTCAGTTCAAAGCTGAGGGTTTTTTCGTTCTAAAAGTTACAAAAACACGCAGATTTCTCTCTGGCCTAAGGTAGTTGATATTTCATGGACTAAATGCCCCCCAAGAGGCCATGGAGCATAGAGGACAGGAGAGAAGACCTTGAGCAAATCCCTGGCCCTTTCTGAGTCTGGGGAGAAGACTCTTCACAGGGTTGTCCGTGAGGATTCAGAACACAGTAGATCCTCAGTATGGGATCCATCACTCTCATTTTATTTGGAAGATAAGAAGATACTACAGCATGAGATCCCTGCCTTTTATCTCAAGAAATGGATAGAGACTAACAAGGAGGACAAATTCAGAAGGCTATTTTTCCAACCAGGAAGTCAGGGCCAAGGGGCACAAAAAGGAGTGGGCATCCTGAGTTGGTGTGAATGCAGGGATTTTGGAAGGCTTCCTGGGTGTTGAACTGGATCTGGGAGGAAGGCACACTCTCCAACTGGGAGAGAAGGAGAGTATTTCCCAGCAGGATCTCTGCTGGGGTGGATTATTTCAAGACAGGATCTATGCCACTGTGCAGGAGGAATTTCAGGGCAGGATCTATGTTGCTAGGGCAATATTTCAGGGAAGTATCTACTTTACTGTAGGGGGAGAAGATTTCTGGACAGAATCTATGCTCCTGTGGTGGAGAGGTGGTAATATATATATATATATATATATATATATATATATATTTTTTTTTTTTTTTTTTTTTTTTTTTTTTGAGACGGAGTTTCACTCTTGTTACCCAGGCTGGAGTGGAATGGCGCGATCTCGGCTCACCACAACCTCTGCCTCCTGGGTTCAGGCAATTCTCCTGCCTCAACCTCCTGAGCAGCTGGGATTACAGGCACGCGCCACCATGCCCAGCTAATGTTTTGTATTTTTAGTAGAGACAGGGTTTCACCATGCTGACCAGGATGGTCTCGATCTCTTGACCTTGTGATCCACCCGCCTCGGCCTCCCAAAGTACTGGGATTACAGGCTTGAGCCACTGCGCCCAGCCTCTTTTTTCTTTTTAAGACAGTCTCACTCCATCGCCAGGTGCCAGGCTGGAGTGCAGTGGTGCGACATCAGCTCACTGCAACCTCTGCCTCCTGGGTTCAATCAATTCTCCTGCCTCAGCCTCCCAAATAGCAGGGACTACAGGCATGTACCACCATACCCAGCTAATTTTTGTATTTTTAGTAGAGGTGGGGTTTCACCATGTTGGCCAGGATGGTCTCGATCTCTTGACCTTGTGATCCACCTGCCTCGGCCCCCCAAAGTGCTGGTGAGAGCCACCACGCCCAGCCGAGTGGGTATATTTTAAGGTAAGAGTTTTGCTACTGGGAGGAAGGGGTCAAGGTCAGAGGGTGTGTGTGGATGTTACCGGGAGAACTCATGGTATCCAGAGCTAGTGAGAGGCCACCAGGAGGTCCCCAGTGTTCATGGGCAGAGCCTTCTGCCTTGTAGATATGGGGAAGGTTGACTGAAGTGGACAAGATCCTCATTTTCAATAAAGAAATCAAGCTGCGGCAGGTAGGGAAGTTTCTTAGTAATTGCCCCTCCAGGACTGCATTTTTTCTGGGTGTAATCTGCTTGTGTATGTGGTAGTGGCTTGGGTGGGAGATGGGGTGACTATATGAAAGTCTGTGGCAGATCAGAGGTCAGTTTCCAAACCAAGCTCTGTCATCTTGGTACAAGGCTGAGGCTCCCCAAGCAGAGCTTCACAAACTCCTAGATCCTCAGCAACACTGCAGGTGGGGCTGGTGGTGGGAGGTATGGGGCAGGTCCAGGAGAGAGAAGCCAGGGAGTGGGGGTAGGGTAGTGACAAGGTCCTTAAAGCCCTCAGCGACCTTGAGTCAAGGGGTGTGTGAGAGCCAGAAGGTAGGCAGCCGACCAAAGCAGAATTTTGGAGTGAACATTTAAAATTTTCCTAGAAAGGCCTGTCTCTACAAAAAAAAAAAAAAAATTAAAAACTCATGCAGCGTGGTGGTGCGCACCTACAGTCCCAGCTACTCAGGAGGCTGAGGCAGGAGAATTGCTTAAGACTGGGATATCGAGGCTGCAGTGAGGCTGCAGTAAGCTAGAATCAGGCCACTGCACTCCAGCCTGGGCGGCAGAATGAGAACCTGTCTCAGAAAAAAAAGAAAAAAAAAAAAATGCTAGAAAAGGAGAATGAGAATTGACACTTACTGGAAGGTTTTTATGTGACAGTTTTTTTTTTATATGTGACATCTCACTGACGTCAAACTTCATGAGTGTCTAAGGCTGCCCGGTATCCTATTGCGTGCTTTCCCTAGGGACTCGTTGATATCCCTTTCAGTCCCTGAGAAGTGGATTCTAAACCAGAATCCCCTGCTAGGCCTGCTAAGCCCTGTGACCCCTGTTTCACCCCTGCCTCAGGAGTGAAGGAGCCCGCCCATCAGATGGCAGCAAGGGGGCGCCTGGGCGGAGCCATGCTTCGTGCACCGTGCACCCGCCCCGAGCCAGGCACTTCAAGGGGCTTAGTCCTCTATCTGCTCACCAAATGTGCAGGGCCTCGCTGGTACCCCCACCAGTATCAACCAAATGTAGTGGGATCATGAGCATCACGAAATATTTCAGGATATAAGGATACAAGCAAAAGGAAGCCTAAAGATGAGAATACATCTATATTTGGGGAGGAAAAATGGATTTTTTTTTTCCAAACTGAAAGAATACCTACTTCCTACTGCCCAGAGTGAAACCTTTTTCTCTCTTATTCTTGATATTTTACTCTGAGCTAATAGACGTCCCTTCTCTGCTCCCAGTTTTCTCCCCGTCTTCTATTTCTTCTTGCCTTATTTAAAATGTCATTTCCCTCTCTCCCTTGTATGCGTCTATTTCCTTCACGCCATTTTCTCATGTTTTCCCTTGAGACAGCGAGCCTGGTATTCTGATGCCATTATCTAAGGGGTTTTCCCTAACCCTCAGGACAACCCTATAAGCTGGTGGCATTGCCCCATTTGAGGGATGAGAAAACTGGGGTTCCAAGCCAAGTGAGTGGAACCAGCTGGAGGACATCTACTTAGTCCTCCCAGGACACATGCAGGCTGTGTGAAGCCCCCGAGCTGATGACTGACACGGGGGTCCCCTCCCTGACCCCTTGCGACCTGCGAGGTGAGAGTCAGCCCCGCCCCGCCCTCTTCTCTCTCCGCCCTTTTCTGTCGCCTTCGGACAACTTGTTACACTGTTTCTTCCACTGCCCACACGCCCATTGGCCCGCCACGGCGCATCCCCATTGGCTGCGGCAGTGGGGGACAGGGCCGCGATTGGTCCCCACCCCTGTAACGAGGTGCCAGTTTCAGACAAGAGCCGCGATCCCCACTCCGGCGCGCGAGGCCGGGTGACTGCTGTCCCAGGAGTGGGGACGTCGCGTGCACAGTCGCCGCGTAAGTATCCTTTGAATGCTCCTCTCCAGAAAGGAGCCCTTGGGTATATGAGTGTTTGTGTAGATGCGAGTGAATTTGACGCCGTGGAGCCAAACAGGTGAACTTTTAGCGCTGAGTTCACAGGAGGCTTTGTATCCGTCATCGTGGCTACCTACATTTTTGAGAATGATTCTGGATTATTACTATTATTATTATTATTTTTGAGACGGAGTTTCACTGTTGTTGCCCAGGCTGGAGTGCAATGGCGCTATCTCCGCTCATTGCAACCTCCGCCTCCCGGATTCAAGCGATTCTCCTGCGTCAGCCTCCCAGGTAGCTGGAATTACAGGCGCGTGCCACCACGCCCGGCTTACTTTTTGTATGTTTAGTAGAGACCGGGTTTCGCCATGTTGGCCAGGCTGGCCTTGAACTCCTGACCTCAGGTGATCCGCCTGCCTCAGCCTCCCACAGTGCCGGAATTACAGGCATGAGCCACCGCACCCGGCCGATTCTGGATTACTTTTACATAATCTGATATAGATAGAGAATCAAAGGAAGCTGCTTGTGAGTTGTGGTACATTATCCAGTGTATTATATTGTTTGCCTGGGGCTTGCTAATGAGAGTGGATCACACTCAAATATTTTGTGGAGTGATGCTTAAAAATGAACATTTCTCTGAAACATGGAGAAGGTGAGGGCATTTTTTAAAAGTTTAGCCTAGGGAGTTTGTTAAATGTCAGCTCTGAGTGGATATAAGTTTCAATAGGAAAACATGTAGTAATGAAAGTATGCTCTGCTTTATAGATAAGAATTAATAAAAAATATATCACGTAACAGTGTTAATCCTCACAAAACTCCCTTTTAGAAGAAGGTATCAATGAAGCTGCCTTCTAACTTTGTTAGGCTGCAAGGTTATGTTTGGCAAGCCCATCTCATGAACAAGACTGAACACAGAAATAAGTTTTGGTTTTGTTTGTTTTTAGACAAAATCTTACTCTGTCACCCAGGCTGGAGTGCAGTAGCACGATCTCAGCTCACTGCAACCTCTACTTCCCAGGTTCAAATGATCCTCCCACCTCAGCCTTCTGGGTGGGCTGGGACTACAGGCACACCATATCCGGATAATTTTTGTATTTTTTTGTAGAGATGGGGTTTAGCCATGTTGCCCAGGCTCCTCTCAAGCTCTTGAGACCAAGTGATCCGCCTGCCTCAGCCTCCCAAAGTGCTAGGATTACAGGCAAGAGCCACCGCGCCTGGGCAGCAGTAAGTTTTGAAAAGGGGAAATTATGTTAGAGCTGTGGCCATTCTGAAATGCCTAGTATTATTTCGGGCCCCAGTTTCCTGTGTAATAAATGGGCTTTGCACAGAGAAAGTTTTCAGTAAACATTTGTTTATAAACATAATGAAGTTCCCAAAATTCCTTAAGACGCAGCTTCTCACACTGTTCTATACCCCACTTCTATTGATTATGAGTGGCTTATTTTTTTTTGCTCCAGATAGTCATAGAATCATGACTACAACCTTTTAAAAGTGAAAACATTCAGACTATAATCTAGTTAAAGAATTTTTACCTCCTTTATGCAGATAAAGAAATTAAAGCCAGATGTGGTAGCTCATGCCTATAATCCCAGCACTTTGGGAGGCCAAGGTGGGAAGATCACTTGAGCCCAGGAGTTCAAAACCAACCTGGGCAACATAACGAGACACTGTCTGTACAGAAAAATTTAGCCAGGCCCAGTAGTGCATGCCTGTAGTCCCAGCTACTCAGAAGGATGAGGTGGGAGACTCAGAAGGATGAGGTGAGAGGATCACTTGAGCCTAGGAATTCGAAGCTGCAATGAGCCATGAGATTGCCGCTGCACTCCAGCCTGGGCAACTGAGTGAGACCCAATCTCAAAAGAAAGAAAGAACAAGAAAAAAAAAAGAAATTAAGAACTAGAGGCCAGAGGTGGTGGCTCATGCTTGGAATCCCAACATTTTAGGAGGCTGAGGAGGGAGGTTCCCTTGAGCCCAGGGATTCCAGACTAGCCCGGGCAACAGAGTGAGACCCCATCTTTATATATAGATGAACTAGAGAGATTCCTTACCTCATCCAAAGTCACAAGGTCACAAGGTTGGTTAGCCTGAAGCTACAGTTATGACCCAGGTCTCAAGCCAATCCATAACCCAACTTGCCTTTCCCTTTGCCAGCTCATTCCATTTTTGACTGTGTCTCTGTATCATCCTTAAGATTAGCTTCCTTTAAACTACTATCTCTGTACTGAGTTCACTCAATTCTCACTCATTTTAGATGCCCAAACAGTCACATTCACCTCTTCAAGCATTCCCAGTTTCCTAAGTCAGGATAGGATATCCAGCCTCTAGACCAGGCATCCCCAAACGTTTTACACAGGGGGCCAGTTCACTGTCCCTCAGACCATTGGAGGGCCGCCACATACTGTGCTCCTCTCACTGACCACCAATGAAAGAGGTGCCCCTTCCTGAAGTGTCGCAGGGGGCCAGATAAATGGCCTCAGGGAGCCACATGCAGCCCACGGGCCATAGTTTGGGGATGCCTGCTCTGAACCCTGTATAATCTTCACCTACCTTTCTTAATTAGCAATTGACCAACATGAGCTTGAAAGAGCTTTTGTAGTCTTCTCAAATGCATTGCCTCTCACTGTACATCTTGCCAAGAACTGAATTCCTGAGGGAATGAATGCTTAGGACGCAGACAGGTCTTTTGGGTTAGGGTGGGACTAAGATGTTATTTTCCTTCCTCCCACCAAGTTTTTCTCTTAATCTTCATTTTCCTCTAGCTCATTCAATCCAGTGTCTCTGCCCATCCCCACGCTGGGGAGATTTTTGTCTTAGTAGTTCAGGCTAAGCCAACCATTTCTTGGGGGTTGAGTTCATCATTTAAGTCTACACATGGTACCACTTCCTGGGAGGGATACAGCTCATGCTTGACACACAGGACCTGACCAAAGATTTTTCGGAGTTGTTGCCAGAACATGATTGAGTTAGAAACCAGTGTGGCCTGGGACTGGGAAGCTCATTAAAGAAAGTGGGACTTAAACTGGGAATTGAAGGGCAAGTTAGCTCCAGATTCATAGAGACTACAGACAGGGGCAGAGAGAGATGGTGTTATAGGTGGAAGGAGAGGCAATGAGTCACAGAATAACGATTGGTGAGCAGAGGAGCAAACCATTCTTTTTTTAAAGAATAAAAGTGACATAAAGGGGAAATTGGGAGATTCTGAGTCTTCGAGGCTATTACAATGCAGCTCCAGACACTAAGGATGAGCCTTTCAGACTATTTTCTCTACATTGCTGTAATTCCTTACACTGCTGGGAGCAGCTTCTCAGATATACTTTGCAACCGCAGAGGGCTTTTAGGAGAGAAGAGTTTTGTTTCTAAATAAAAGATCACTTCTTGATCTCATTTTTACAATAGTTAGCTCTCCTTTTACAGTCTGTTTCATTCCCCCTTCCTAGCCAAACAGCTAACCTTGGAATAAGCCTGGGGGTCCTGCCCTCCTCTCCCCATCCTAGACAGTGATTCTGAGGCACTTCTTCCAGGCGAGCCAGTCCACTCAAATCACAGGTGCCTACGGGACAGACCAAAGTGTATTATTAGATAAAAAAGAGCTCCGTCTAAAAAAGATCTACTTTAGACTCTGTCAGGGCCACAGAGAAGAAAAAATTCTAAGTCGATCGAAATAACTTGGAAAGAATGCCTTGTGGGGATCATAGCACAGTGGTTCCTAGTAGTGAGCAGGAGGCAGGATCTGGAGGGGGGACACTGAAAATCATTCAGGATCTAATTAAGAGTAACATCGCGGGGCGCGGTGGCTCACGCCTGTAATCCCAGCACTTTGGGAGAATTGCTTGAACCTGGGAGGCGGAAGCTGCAGTGAGCTGAGATTGCGCCACTGCACTCTAGCCTGGGTGACAGAATCAGACTCCGTCTCAAAAAAAAAAAAAAAAAAAAAAAAAAAAAGTAACATCTCCAGGGCTTGATTCTGCCCTTAAAACGCAATAGGAGGGTCATCTCTCATCTTCCCTGCGGGTTGCCCCCTCCCTGAGCCAAGAGGGGGTGGAAATTTCCCCCAGCTCCTGACCAGGGGGTGGGGCGTGGCTGGGCGAGGGCCAGGCAAGATGGAGGCTGCGGTTCCAGGCAGCTTGGCCAGCATGCTCTGGGGCTGTCCCCACCCCTAGTGGCGAGCAGCCCTGGTGGCTCCTAGAAGCAGCTGGTGGGAAGCCTGCCCCCTATGGGGGAGGCAGAGGACTGCATCCTTGTCCAGGCTGAAACTGTCCACAGAGCAGTCCAGCAATTTCAGGCAGAGTGTGTTTGGGCAGAACCTTGTGAGGATACCCAAACAGTCAGCATTGGCATTGGGAGAGCTCCAGATTCCCTACAAGCCGAGGCTTTTCGTGTTAGTATCCTGACACTGTGAGAGAGTTTGAGGTCCTGGGAGGACCCTGGTTTTTTTATACCTCTGTTCATCTAGAACAGTGCTTCCCACCTGCTTCCCTTTTTATATATGCTCATCTAAATCCCCTGGTGTGCAGGCAATTCTGTTGCTCCTTAACTTAAGTAAAAACAAGAAACAAAAAATCCTACGTTCTTCTGTTCAAAAGGTTCTCATTTTCCCTGGGCAGTTCAAAATCATCAGTTTCACTTTGCTTCCTACTAAAGATTACTTAGTGTCTGGAAATTGAAGATCATGAAGGCACAGGCTCTAATCTAACATAACCCTGGAGCAAGTCTTGAGGGGCCTCTGCAGATTCATGTTGTTTTCCCTTGGAAGATACCACAGTGTAACTCCTGGTAACAGATGTGACACAGACTTGCAGGGACCAGCACGGGCAACCAGAGCATCACCGTTCCCATCTTCCTGCCCTGTTCCAAGAAGCGAAACAAGGGCAAGTTGATACACTGGGGAAGACCAGATGATTGATGAGAAGTTGTTTTTTGACCTAAAAAGTGTTTTTAAAATCCCACATTGCCTGATTGGGTTTATCATCTCATTGGCCTATTTTCCCTAGTAAAGCATACTGGGAAAGGCTTCTTCCATCTCCCTTCCCTATAATCCCTCAATGGAGATTCTGTTTCCAGCTGCTGCCAGCCGTGGTGATGCTTGACACATGAATCAAGAGCTAGTGGTGGCTCTCAAATTGTGAAAGTATAAGAATCACCTGGTGAGCTGCGTGCTGGGTTCCGATCCAATGTTTTTGAGGCAAGGCCTAGCCATGTATATTTTCAACAGTCTCCCCAGGTGACTCTTTTTTTTTTTTTTTTTTTTTTTTTTTTTTTGAGACAGAGTTTCGCTCTTGTTACCCAGGCTGGAGTGCAATGGCGCGATCTCGGCTCACCGCAACCTCCGCCTCCTGGGTTCAGGCAATTCTCCTGCCTCAGCCTCCTGAGTAGCTGGGATTACAGGCACGCGCCACCATGCCCAGCTAATTTTTTGTATTTTTAGTAGAGACGGGGTTTCACCATGTTGACCAGGATGGTCTCAATCTCTTGACCTCATGATCCACCTGCCTCGGCCTCCCAAAGTGCTGGGATTACAGGCTTGAGCCACCGCACCCGGCCAACTCTTAACATACCTCAAAATTAACAAACCCTTGGCGGAGGTCATGTATTGTCTCTGACGAGCAGGACTGAGCTAAGGGGGAAGTGGACCCAGTAGAAACATCTCACTATAATTCATCAGAACACCAGCACTGAGCACTTAATGGGGGCCAGGCTCTGTGTTATGCCCTGAGGGTACAGAATTGATGAAGTTGAAGCCTCCATGTTCAAAGGGCAGGCAGGCTAGTGGAGAGCAACTCTCTGAGTAGTGGGGTGAGGCCTGATGGAAGGGTCTATGGCTCAGGTAAGAGGCCCTGGCCACTTATTAAAACAATTACGTGTCAGTCCCAGGATCGCCTCCCCTAGAGAAGGGCTTTTGGCTTGTAAGCTCAGATGTGACAAAGAAGGACGCAGTGATCATTTCCAGAACCCTCTAGAGGCAGATAAGGCAAAATGGCTTTCACTTCTCTGTGGTTGGGTGACTTCCTGCTTGCACAGGTGGTAGAGTGACTTTTCTTGTTTTCCTTGTTTTTTTCCTTGAGGTGTATCACAGAAAAATTCATGAGTCTAAAGTGTAACCCTTGAAGGATTTTTTTCTCATATGCATACACCTGTGTAACCACATCTAAGAGGGGACATTCTTAAGGGAGAAAAGACTTCACAGCGGGGACAAATAAGTGTTCAGCTTTGAGCAGTCTGTAAAGCCTGAGATCTCAGGGTACGGCTGTTCTCCTTGGCCATGCTTAAAATTAACCCCTGAAATTAACAAGTGTCTGGTGAGTACCTGCAATGTGTCAGAACCTTCTGAGGTAAGTCCCAGGGCACCTCAACTCTAAGTTGAACATGGGTGGTCTACAATTTTAGGAGCTGAGTTTCAATAACAGATTTTGTGTTGACCCTGTATAATCTCCACCTACCCTTCTTAATTAGCAGATGACCGACATCACCCTCAAAGGGCTTTTGTAAGTTTCTCAAAGACATTGCCTCTCACTGGAAATCTTGCCAAGAACTGAATTCAGGAGGGAGTGAATTTGGGGCCTTTACTTGGGAGGGGTCCCTTCTTCCTGCCTGCCACAATTTGTCTTCCTTTTCCTTTAATATTGTATTTTTATTATCTAGTGCAAAACATAATATTACATTACAGCTTATAATGGCGACCCCTGAAGAAAGCAGCAACCCCCATGAGAGAGCGACACCCCAGCTGCCAGCACAGCTGCAGGAGCTTGAGTCTCGGGTGGCCCGGAGACGCCTGTCCCAGGCCCGCCACCGAGCCACCCTGGCGGCGCTCTTTGACAATCTCAGGAAGACAGTGTACTCTCAGTCCGATCTCACAGCCTCAAAGGTACAGGGACCTGGATGAGGAGAGGGGACATTTCCACGGGGGAGGAAATGTTTCCATGTGTGGAGGGATTGTGCTGGCTTGGAGCTGCCACTTCTGCTGGGGTAGCAACAAATGCACTAGACAGGGCAATTTATAAACAGCAGAAGCTTACCGCTCCCAGTTCTGGAGCCTGCAAAGTCCAAGACAAAGATGCCATCAGATTGGGTGTCTGGCGAGGGCATGCTGTCAGGTGCCTAGACAGGGCTGTCTTGCTGTGTCCTCAGGTCGTGGAAAGACAGACTCCCTCAGGACTCTTTTAGAAGGGGACCAATCACCTTAATCACCCCCCAAAAGGCCCCACCTCTTAATACTATCATATTGGGGATTGGGTCTCAACATACTAAATATTGGAGGGACACACACATTCAGACCACAGCATTTGGGGAAGCGTCTTTCCGTGCTACAAACAAGCCCAAGATTCTGGAAGTCACGCAGCGCCTGCTTCCAAGTCCTTGCTGACCCAATAGCATCCACCTGATCCCTGGGGAGTGTTGAAGAAGCCTAGAAGCCTGCAATCCTCTGCACTGTCATGGTGCTGCGGTTCCCTTCCCCTTCACTTTGGGCTGGCAGGACACTGTGATTCCAGCTTCCCTCAAGTCTCCTTTTAAGTCACCCACCAGAATCCTTGGAATCTAGAATGTCAAATCCCAGGCTGTTCTGCCCCCAGCTGCTTTGGGGTCCCCTCCCGTACCCACCCCACACTCTGGCCACATCTTGCTGCAGAAGGTCCCTAAACCAGGCTGCCTCTCACGGCCTCTGTGTCTCTGCTCATGCAGTTAGCTCTGCCTTTGGGATTCTGTGCACACTTCATAGCTGGGCTTGGCTCACTCTGCTCAGCTGCCCCACTCCATGGAATCTTCTGGACCCCTCCAGTTGAACTAGTCCCTCCTCCTTGTACATTTCCACAGCCCTTTGCTTCTACCACTTGTTAGTACCTACTTAGTTCTATCTTGTGTCATGAGGGGTTGTTTCTGTGCTTGTCCTCCGTGTCAGAGGTTGGCACCCTGGCAGCAGGGACTGTCTTAGGTTCTCTGGATCCCTGGGACTTGGCACCCAGTTTTGCCCTTGTACATGCCCAAGGGATGCATGCAGCCCCTGACAGATGTAGGTGGTTGGCCCAATGAACATTTAGCATTGCTCCTTTTTGAATAATCTTGCTGTTAGCATTTTGACTTTAATAATGTTATATACAGGAAGAAAGGAGGAAAGAAGGAAGGAAGACAGAGAAGGAGAGAAAGAGGAAGGAAGGAAGGAAGGGTGGGAAGGAAGAGAAGGAGGGAGGAAGGGAAATGGAGGGGAGGGAGGGGAGGGAGTGGAAGAAAGGGACGGAGGGAGGGAATTAAGGAAGGGAGGGAGGGAGGGAGAGAAGACGGGAAAGAGGGAAATTTGCCATTGAGGTTGACAGCATTTGATAAGTTTTTAGATCATCTGGAGTATATGCACTTAGCAAATAAAAATAGTGGGAGATTAGGACATTTAATATTAACTAGCCCCTTGCACAATGTTACAACTGAGCTGAAGTCTAGCTCTGTGCTTTGTGCAAGCCTGACATTCATGCAGACCGTGCCTCTTCCATCACTCCTTATTCCACCTTCAAGCTGCCTCTGTAGTTTGCCTTTCTGCAGTGCTAGCAACTTGCTGAACAAAGCTTAACTCTTTCCAAATACTTCGGCATTTTGGTGAGAACCCATTTCTAGGCTACAAACAAAACTTCCTCCCTTCTGTGCATCAGAACAAACTTCCTATTCTTTCTACTGACAAAGTTAAGGGACGTAACTTTGCATCTGAGGGAGCATGGCCTCAGCCCTGGGAAGGAATTCCTGGGTCCACAAACCAGTCTCTGCAGTGAGAGGCTGACTTTAGCATTGTCTCTGCCTCTCCTCAGTGGCAGGTTCTGAATAAGGCAAGGAGCCACATTCCGGAACTGGAGCAAACCCTGGATAATCTGCTGAAGCTCAAAGGTAATGGATTCCTACTTGCCAACCCCATCTCCCTCCCTGGAGAAAACTGGTCCAGTTTTTCTATTGAAAACAGAGATTGGGTTACGATGAATCAATGAATATTTATTGAGGGCCTGCTGTGTGCCAGGCACTGTGCTTGGACCAATGTTGAGGGTCCCTCTACTTAGGGAGCCTGCAGTCCAGCAGGACCAGCCAGAGTCACCAGGCCAGGTAACTTTGATGAGTTCCCTACTGGGGTACTGCTGAAGGCACCTGATCTCATCTTCAGAGGCCAGAGAAAAAGTGGGCTGGTGCTTGTCCAAGGCTCTCCCCTCATACCTGGAAGGAGAAACTGAGCTCTGGTCTCCCTAACGCTGACCCTGGAGAGCTCAGGGTCCCACCCAAGGCCCACCAGGGCCAGAAGGGTGGGAAAGACTCAACAGAGGCCTGACTTTTCCCTTTGTGTTCCTGGTCTTGAACTCCCCAATAGCATCCTTCAACCTGGAGGATGGGCATGCAAGCAGCTTAGAGGAGGTCAAGAAAGAATATGCCAGCGTGTATTCTGGAAATAACAGGTAAGACACCGCAAGCCCCAGGAAGCTGGGGACCTGCTGTGTTCTGACACCCATCAGTGCTTTCTGGTAGCAACCCACCCTTTCCCCTCCAGCCATCGGGGCTGCTGCTTATCATTCAAAACGGGCATATACTGGAGACCATTCCTTTCTCTTTTGTTTTAGTAACATACATTCAATTTTTTCCCAGCTATAAAAATGATCCATGATTATTGCAGAAGATGCAGAAAACACACAAAAGCCTGAAAATATATATTGTCTCAGAACTTAAAGGAAATCAATGTTAATTTTCAAGAAAATCCATCAAGTTTTTTTTAATGTTGCACATTATTCTTTAGAGAAATAAGGCCATAGTGTTTATATTAAAGCTTTTTCTATATGTATTTTTTAAAGCCACAGCTAATGGTTTTCTTGGAGGATACATATGGAAATAAGGAAAATACAAATCTCAGTCTATATTGCAAGCCTCCTGGGAACCTAAGAGAAGCTAAATTAGACTTCATCAGGGAAAAGGAAACATGGTACACCCAGGTGTCACAAATGCTGAAAAGGGAACATTATTAACATGTCACATTCACACTTTGAAGGAGAGACTGATTTGAGAAATGTATTTTTATGATCTCATGGTTCTTTGTTTTTGTTTTGTTTTTTTGAGACAGAGTCTTGCTCTGTCGCCCAGCCTGGAGTCCAGTGGTATGATCTCAGCTCACTGTAACCTCCACCTCCCAGGTTCAAGTGATTATCTTGCCTCAGCCTCCTGAGTAGCTGGGAGTACAGGCACCTGCCACCACGCCTGGCTAGTTTTTGTATTTTTAGTAGAGGTGGGGTTTCACCGTGTTGGCCAAGCTGGTCTCAAACTCCTGACCTCAAGTGATCTACCTCAGCCTCCCAAAGTGTTGGGATTACAGGCGTGAGCCATTGTGCCTGGCCGACCTTGCTTTAACTCAACATGGTACCTTGGGGATTATTCTTATAAGTATGAAGAGATCCCGGGTGCAAGTCCTGACTTTTCCAAATGGTGTTCTATTGTTTCGTTCTCTTCAAGGTGTCTTTTGAAGAGCAGAATTTGCAGATTTTAATGAGTCCAATTTAACCTTTTTTAAGTAGATTGAGCTTTTGGGTTAAACCTAAGTATGTCATTTTTTTGGTGGTATTGTAAATGATGGTTTTTAAAATTTCAATTTCCAAGTGTTCATTGCTACTATGCAGCAATATTATCAATTTTTATATTCTGACATTGTCTCCTGCAACCTTGCTAAATTCCCTTCTTATTTCCAATGACATGTTTGTAGATTGAGATTTTTCTACACAGATAATCACACTGTCTACAAATAAAGACAGATTTGTTTTTTGTGCTTCGATCTATATTCCTTTTATTTCTTTTGCTTGCCTTATTGGACTGGCTAGAACCTCCAGAACAATTTTGAATAGAAGTAGTAAGAGTGGATAGCCTCATCTTATTCCTGATCAGGAGGGGAAACTATCTTTTGCCATTAAGCACAATGTTAGTGGTAGGTCTTTTGGAGATACCCTTTATCAGGCCAACAAATCTGCCTTTTATTCCTAGTTTGCTGAGAGTTTTTTTTTTTTTATCATGTATGGCTATTGATTTTGTTAGATGCTTTTCCTGCATCTATTGGGGTTTTTCTTCTGGAATCTGTTGATCCAGTGAATTGCAGTGATTGATTTTCAAATGTTGAACCAGTTATCTTGCATTCCTAGGAAAAAGCTCATTTGGTCATGATGTGTACACACACACACACACACACACACACACACACACACTTGCTAAAGTTGCTAAGAATTTCTTGTCCATGTTCATGAGGGATACGAGGCTATAGTTGTCTTGTTTCTGTTTTCTCTCCCAGCCTGTTCTCAAACAGTTTTCCTCAGAATGGTTCCTCCCCTTGGTACCCAACTGAGGGAGTCAGGAAGGATGCTGAGGAGGAGGAAGATGAGGAAGAGGAATACCAAGAAGAAGAGGAGGAGGAGGAGGAAGAGGAGGAGGAGGAGGAAGAGGAGGAGGAGGAGGAGGAAGAGGAGAAAAAAGTGCTCTTATACTCTCCAGGCACTTTGTCGCCTGACCTCATGGAATTTGAACGGTGTGAACCGGGTGGGGTGGCTTTGTGCACCCATGGAGCTCCCTCCCATGGGGAAGGGGACAGAGGCCCCCGCTGGGCTATGCGGCAGCTGCGCACCACAGCTGGAGTGCGTGGTTCAGACCAGGCCCTGAATCACGCACTCTCCAGGATTTTCACATGGGAGGGGCTCAGAGACAGGACTGGCAGAGACGCTAGAGAAATAGTCTCCAAGCTACATTATCATAGCTCATCATACAGTGTTTTTACTTAGACTGGGTGTTTATTTGGGGTGCCTTGTGGGGGGCACAGCTGATGGTCATTATGAGGGCTAAGCCCTCTCTCCCCCAAAACGCATATCCCACAAGCCCGCACTGGTCTTACAGTAGGAAAGATGGTGAATGGCTGGCTCAGATGTCCTTTGCCACTGCCTCCTCCACAGACTCAAGGCTCCTCAGCAGCCATGTTGGCATCCAGAAGAGTTGACTTAATAGCAGGAGGCTGTCTCCACAGCCCAGCCTGACTTACGGGCTGAAGGTTAAAGCTGGAGTCCTATCATACTAGCACATTCATGGGTTCAGAGTGTTAAAGAATATTCCCTTAGGATGAGAGCTGAGGCAGCTACGCCTCGTATCTTCTCTATGACACAGAGGGCTTCCTGGGGCAGGGACTGGGAGAAGTTGGGGAGGGGCCCCAAAGCCCAAGGCTATGTCCTTCATGGTCCTCAAGAAGGCTGCTGCTCTCCAAGGGCTAGGGGTGTGCAGAGTCAGAGAAGGCTGAGCCCCAGGAGAGGGGAGGCGCCTCGGCCAGGCCTGTGTGTTGGAGTCCACGCCATGAACCGAATCCCCGGGAGACGGAGCTTCAGACGGTTGGAGAGGGAGCTTCAGGGTTGCGAGACGGTGCCGCTTCTGTTCCAGGTATCTCAACTTTTACAAACAGACGATGGACCTTCTGACTGGCAGTGGGATCGTCTCCCTGCAGGAGGCGGCACTGCCCATCGTCTCCGCGGCCATCTCCCACCTGTGGCAGAACCTCTCGGAGGAGAGGAAGGCCAGCCTCCGGCAGGCCTGGGTGCAGAAGCACCGTGACCCGGCGAGCCTGGCGGGGGCCTGCCGGGAGGCGGCCTGTGCTGAGGGCAGCGTGAAGGACAGCGGCGTGGACAGCCAGGGGGCCAGCTGCTCGCTGGTCTCCACGCCAGAGGAGGTGAGCAGGCCTGCCGGGGTGGCGTGGATGGGGCGCAGGAATCACCGTCGCCCTCAGGCCTTTGCATTTCGCAGGTGGGAGGTGCAGTTTGCCTTCTGGCTCCCAAGGTAGGTTTCTGATTTTCCCAATAATCCCCGGGGCCACGGAACAGCATTTCTTTGTCTGCGGTTAGTTTCCTGCTTGCCTGGGATGGTCGAAGAGAAGGCGTGGGAGGTTGTCTCAGTTGGGATTCTTTGGGCTGCTAGGGCCTAGATTATGAAACCATGAAGAAATGCACTCCCCACACTCAGGAGGTCCGAGGCAGGTGGAGGGGCTCACCGTGTGCCCGTGGATTCAGGCCTCCCTTGGCTCTGCCCGGCTTCTCATCTTTCCCTCCCCTCCCCACCTCCCCCGGCCCCTGTGGCTGTGGAATGGCAGCCAGAGCAATCAAACTGTCATTTTCCTCCTTTATATCCGGAAAGACAAAGATTTTCTACGAAATCCCTTTCTTAAGAATTAAGGAAGAACTTTTCCAGAACAGCTCCTCCCCTCTCATTGGCCAGAAGTGGCCAAATTGCCAGCCTGCTGAGCCAATGAGTGGTCACACTTAGACCAATCAGGCCCAGCCCTTAAAAGGCGGTGGGTTCCCACGCCCCCCAAAGAGCACTGGGGCCGCTCTGTGAAGGGGAGGGCGCCGCAGCTGCCACTGCTAATGCATTTCTCGGGGTTCAGTCCGCTAGTCAGAACAGCCGTGGCCATGGTCTGCAAAGCAGGTAGCGTCTGAGGCCGCCCAGCACGGAGACAAAAGTGGGCCCACAGCTGGTCTTTGAGAATGAGGAGGGGCTCAGATCTCTGCTCTACAACACCGCCCAGGCTGCGCTGGCTTCTCTAGCCCAGGGGCAGACGATTCGCTCTCTGCACACGCCTGTGCTTAGTGAACATTTAGCATCCACGGTTTCCTCCTGACACATGCCACCCCCTTGACCTGACTTTCCATATGCTTCTCAGTCCGGGCGCCTTTGAGAAGACGACATGCTAGTTTCCCAATGTCTCTCTGTGGCAGTCTTAGAGTCAGAGAGCCTCCCATTGTCTCTGACGCTGGGGTTGCAGTCCTGGAATACCCCCAGTTTTTTTTAAAGCTTCCTCAGCTATCAGGCCCAAGCCTGGAGAACAGCAGAGATGTCACCCATTCCTGTCCTTCCAGTTTGCAGGCCTAGCCAGCAGCGTGACTTGTCTAGAACACCCAGTTCCCGCGTCAGTGACTGTATTTGTCTCATCACACATTTTTTTCATGTCACTCTGCCCTTTGGTCACCTGTTGATGGTCAACCCCCCATTATCTTCCCTGATGCTTCTCAAGTGAATCACCTGTGGAGTTTCTTAAAAGTCAGGTGCCTGGCCAGGCACGGTGGCACACGCCTGTAATCCCAGCACTTTGGGAAACCAAACAAAGTGGGAGCATTGCTTGACCCTAGGAGTTTGAGACCAGCCTGGACAACATAGTGAGACTGCACCTTTACTAAAAATTTCAAAGAATAGAGAGGTGTGGTGGTATATACCTGTAGTCCCAGCTACTCAGGAGGCTGAGGCAGGAGGATTCTTTGAGCCCAGGAGGTCAAGGCTGCAGTGAGCTATGATTGTGTCACTACACTCCAGCCTGGGCAACAGAGCAAGACTTTACCTCACACACACACACAAAAGTCAGGTGCTCAGCTGCTATCCCAGACCCACCGAATCAGAGCCTCTGAGGGTGGTGGAGCCTCAGGATATGCATTTTTAATAAGCTTCCCTGGTGGCTGGTGCAGATGAGCGGTGGTCTACCAGCTACGACCTTGGTCCCTTCCCCGACCTCCACGCATCGGTCCACCAGACTGTGGCTTCTGATCTCGTTTTCCTCTAATGTTGGGTCCACCATGAGAAGATGTGCATTCTGGTCCATGATAGCTCAAGAAGGATGATTAGGACCTCACACCCAAGGCATGTATGAAAGGCCAGCCAAGCAGATGTGTTTACAGCCCCAAAGTGCCAAGCCCTGGAGTCTCACACAAAGAAAACGAATGGAAAACACAGTCATGGGCTGCAAGATGTTCTGGGCAACAACAGACCACGTAGACAACGGTAGTCCCATAGATGATAATGGAGCATGTATGGAAATCTAATATATGGTACCTGATATGCACATTGCAGATCAAGTAAGGGGAAACAATTGATATTCAGCGACGGAACTTGGATTTGGGGTTTTCCATATGCAAAAATATATATAAATAAGTACATGGGCTGGACGCGTAATCACGTCTATAATTCCAGCACTCTGGGAGGCCGAGGCAGTTGGACCACCTGAGGTCAGGACTTTGAGACCAGCCTGGCCAACATCGTGAAACCCTGTCTCTACTAAAAATATAAAAATTAGCTGAGCATGGTGGCGAGCGCCTGTAATCCCAGCTACTCAGGAGGCTGAGGCAAGAGAATTGCTTGAACCTGGGAGACAGAGGTTGCGGTGAGCTGAGGCCGTGCCATTGCACTCCACTCTGGGTGACAAGAGTGAAACTCTGTCTCAAATAAGTAAATAAATAAATGTATATGTGCCATCTAGGTTTGCATAAGTATACTCTGTGATGTTCACATGACAAAACTGCCTAAGGATACATTTCTCAGAACCTATCCCTATCAGTAAGTGATTCATGACAGTATCTACTAAATGCCTGAGCAATTCTGTCAAATTTGACTGTGCCAGCATGAACACTTCCTCAGGAAGAACACATCCAAAGAGAAAACAACCAGAATCTAATGTCTCCAAATCATGGCAACAACTTTTCTGGGTTTTTTCAGGGAGGCCTATGGGCTGATGATATTCCTTGGATATTAAAGGAAGCTGGCAGCAGATTCCTTCAGCTGTGCCCAGAAGCAGGGCTCTGCGTGCACCGCTGTGCCCAGATTTAGGCCAGGCCAGGGCTGGGTGATAAGGTAGGCAGAACAGAGAACTCCCATGCCCGAAGCAGGGACAAAGCCACAGTTACTCCTGCTGTGCAGTGTAACCGCTGCAGCCCTTGTTCCACCTGGAGAGGTTCTGCGGCAGAACTGCTATGTCAGAGGCCAGCAGCAGGGTCCAACGGGCTTGGGAGGCACTGGACTGCTCCGTTTCAGTTCAGAGAGAAGCTGCCCTGTGGTTGTGGTGGCATTCTGGAAAGGCTGCAGAACCTGGTCTGGGGGTCCCCTCTCAGGCTGGCTTGGGAAGGGGATTTGCACAGGTGAGCACGATGTGTGGCCAGTGACTTTGGTGGGCTGATTGCTTAAGGAAGGAATTTCAGGGCTGGGCCCCTGTTCCAGGCCTGCCAGGGAGGAACATGAAACTGATGGGCTTCAGGGCTGATGGACCCTGGATCACAGGCCTTTCTGTGGCCCCTTTCCAGACTCTCTTTGATATGACCAAAGAGTTATCAAGTAGAAGTATAAAAGAAAATGTCCGGAAAACTAGGAGCGGGGCCAGAGTCCCAAGGGATTCAGTTCCAGGGAAGCAAATTGAAAGAAGACAGAAAGGGCAGACACCAATCTTTTTGGAAGAGCTGTGTCTCACAGGGAGGGGAGAGGAGAGGACAGACCCTGGCAGAACCTGCCAGCACCTGCCAACTTGGGGTCAGAGGACTTCCTCTCCTCTCTGAGGGGTGACTGCCAGCGTAAAGGGAATGTCAGTTGCAGCAAAGCATGTTCAGTTAAATTTTTAATACAAAACCGTCCCCTGCACTATTTGGAACATTCTTATACTAAAAATTATTCATTCTTTATCTGAAATTCAAAACACAACTTGGCATTTCCTATTTGTATTTGCTAAATCTGGCAGTCAAATAAGTGTAAATCATGTTTCTGTAACATATTTAATATTCTCTAACAAATTAGGGGGAAGCAGAATGAAAAAGTGTCTATATGGCAAGATACCAAATTGGAAATATATATATTATTTTATATTCCAGGTTGGAAGTATATGATATTATATACCTAGGGAAGTGACTGGAGAGAATTAGATCAGTGTGGCAACAATGGATATCTGGGTGGGTTTGTTTCTCAGTGATTCTGATTTTCTTAATCTGTTTCTATTTTCCAAAATTTCCACAGTGAACATGTATGTCTCTTATAAAGCAGATAATGTTCAATTATGTGCCAGGTAGGTCTGTTATAAAGCAGATAATGTTCAGATGTAACCAGATATATCACATACATTATCTTACTGAATTCTTGGAATGGCCCTATGAGTAGACACTGACGTGATTCCTGTTCTATAGAGGAGGATTTGTGAGAGGAAGTAACTTGTCCCAGGTCACACAGCTAGCGAGGAGCAGGGCTGGGAGTTGGCCTGCCTGCAGCCTAACCCAGAACCTTTCCGACCCTCTGGATGCAGCTGCCCCAGCACGGGACTGCTAGACTGTGGACCCTGGGCTCCAATAATCTGTCCACCTTGGGAGGTTTTGATGAGCTTTTTCTCAGTGGTAAACTGAGGTTCTGGTAATTGCGTCTCATACCTGAGCTTCTACCTCCTTTGGCAAGAGAAGTCACAATCCCCAGTTCTTCCTGTGCCTCTCTGCTACCTCAAGGGTTGGCAGTTTGTTCTGGGCATTCTAGAGTTTAGCATTTACCCCCTAGGAAGAACACCAAGCAGCGTCCCTGGGTGTGGGCCCCAGCTCTGACATGCATGCCCTCTGGGGTGTGGTGTAAAGAGAGAGCCTTTCCACTCATCTCTCCCCCAGCAGCCCAGAGCAAGTGTGAAATTGTCAAGTTATTTCCCACGCATGAAGTGCTGCGCTTTCTTTCAGATCCTTTTTGAAGATGCCTTTGATGTGGCAAGTTTCCTGGACAAAAGTGAGGGTCCAAGTACATCTAGCTCCAGGTGAGGAAGAGCGTGTGAGATAGCATGCACCCATCTATGGATGGGTGTGAGATTGTGTGTGGGGGGAGGGGGTTGGGTGAGTTTGCATGTGCATGAATGTGATTAGTCTGTCAGTCTGAGAGTGTGTGTGTATGTACTCCTGCTGGGACGTTCCAGAGCCTCTCCTCTGCAGCCTCTAGATGAGTGTTGTATTAGTCCATTCTCACACTGCTATGAAGAACTACCGGAGACTGGGTAATTTATAAGAGAGGTTTAAGTGACTCACAGTTGCACAAGATGTACAAGAGGCATGGCTGGGGAGGCCTCAGGAAACTTACAATCATGGCAGAAGGCAAAGGGGAAACCTGTGTATCCTCACATGGTGACAGGAGAGAGAGCGAGTGAAGGGGGAAGTGCTACACACTTTCCAAACAAGCAGATCTTGTGAGAATTCTGTCATGAGAATAGCAAGGGGGACACCCACGCCCATGGTTCAATCACCCCCCACCAGGCCCCTCCTTCAACATGTGGGGATTATCATTCCACAGGAGATTTGAGTGGGGACACAGAGCCAAACCCAGATCAGGTGCTTAATTCAGTGGGTGTTCTTAGGGATCTGTTTTTTGTTGTTGTTGTTGTTTTTTTTTTTTTTTCTGTGATTGGAAGTAAGCTGGCCCTAGGATTGTGTTATTGCCCTGGGGATGACATTATCTGTGGCGTCTTCAGAGTAGAAAATTCACACACATTATCTTACTTAATTCTTGGAATAGCCCTATGAGTAGACACTGATGTGATTCCTGTTTTATAGAGGAGAATTTATGAGAGGAAGTAACTTGTCCCAAGTCACACAGCTAGCGAGGAGCAGGGCTGGGAGTTGGCTTGCCTGCAGCCTAACCCAGAGTCTTCCTGACCCTCTGGATGCCGCTGCCCCAGCATGAGACTGCTAGACTGTGGACCCTGGACTTCAGTAATCTGTCCGCCTTGGGAGGTTTGAAGAGCTTTTTCTCAGTGGTAAACTGAGGTTCTGGTAATTGCATCTCACACATGAGCTCCTACCTTCTTTGGCAAGAGGAGTCACATCCTGGAACAGGGCTGGGACACACCAGGTCATCAGCTGCAGGGTGGGCATCTGTTCTCTTTGCAACCTATTCCCAGTGTGTTAGCCCTGCTGACCTCTGCTGAGGGCTGCTATCTCCCCGCCTTAAGTCCATTAACACTAAATGCCATAGACCGGGTGGCTTATAAACAACAGAAATGTATAAATATCACAGTTCTGGAGGTTGGGGAGTCCAGGATCAAGGTCCCAGCAGAGTCAGAGCCTCATTTTTTCACAGAGGGTACCTTCTAGATAAAACCTCACATGGTGAAGAGGCAAGACATCTCTCTGTTTCTTTATTTTTAATTTTATTTTTTAAGATGGAGTCCTACTCTGTCACCCAGGCTGGAGTGTAGTGGCACAATCTAGGCTCACTGCAACCTCTGCCTCATGGGTTCAAGCAATTCTCCTGCCTCAGCTTCCCGAGTAGCTGGGATTACAGGCACATGCCACCATGCTCAGCTAATTTTTGTATTTTTAGTAGAGACAGGGTTTTGCCATGTTGGCCAGGCTGGTCTCAAACTCCTGACCTCAAGTGATCCACCTGCCTCGGCCTCCCAAAGTGCTAGGGTTACAGGTGTGAGCCATAGTGCCTGGCTCTGGGGCCTATTTTATAAGGGCACTAATCACATCGTGAGGGGCCCACCTTCATGCCCTAATCCATGATCTCCCAGAGGCCCGCCCTCCTAACACCATCACCTTGGGAGATAGGTTTCAGCATATGAATTTTGGAAGAACACACACTTTCAATCGGTAGCACCCAGGGCAGCTTGCAGGCAGGTTCTCCCTGCCAATCTGGAAGGAGAAGGCTGGGAGGGGGCTCTGGGACACGGAGAATAAGGGGCAACATGCAAACAGGCCTGGGCCCTGAGTTTAGGGGACTCCCTGATAGGAATGGATAGAAAGGAGGGGAGAAAAGGATCACTGACCCCATGAAGTGGGAAGACACAAAATAGGATGTGAAAAGATTTTAAAACAGTTAGTAGCTTGACTAACCATGCCCCAAAGGGGTGTTTTCTGAAAGAGAAATCATTTAGGACTGAAATTCCCTTGCTTTGCTTAAAAAAGCTGTGGTCTAGCCGGGCGCGGTGGCTCACGCCTGTAATCCCAGCACTTTGGGAGGCCGAGGCGGGTGGATCACGAGGTCGAGAGATCGAGACCATCCTGGTCAACAAGGTGAAACCCCGTCTCTACTAAAAATACAAAAAATTAGCTGGGCATGGTGGTGTGTGCCTGTAATCCCAGCTACTCAGGAGGCTGAGGCAGGAGAATTGCTTGAACCCAGGAGGCGGAGGTTGCGGTGAGCCAAGATCGCGCCATTGCACTCCAGCCTGGGTAACAAGAGCGAAACTCCGTCTCCAAAAAAAAAAGCTGTGGTCTTAGGGCCTGAAGGCACAGGGTCTTCAGATATCTGAGCTGCTGTCATGGCTAAAAAGAACCCTGGACGTTTCATTTTTCTGCCTTGGGAGCGAGAGTGACATATCCTTGTGATCCCAGTGAATATTCCTATTGTTCTCTCAAGGGGAGTCCTGGCCTATGGGTGCCTGTGAGGCCCTGGGGCCACAGCTGTCCCTAGTAACCCAGCTGGCCTTTCAACAGAGCTTCAGGCAAACCATACGTCAGCATTTTGGCTCCATTCTCCCTGTTCCACCCGGGCCAAATGGACTTAGGGAGAAGTGGGGTTGACAGAGGAGGGCTTTGTCCTCTCCAGATCGACCTTCCAGAGTGACTCAAGCGCTTCTCAGCTGTGAGTGGGGTTACATTTTGCTGCAATTGGCTGGAAGAGACATTCCTGTTTCCGTGCTCAGCTCGGGCTGCAAAGACAACCATGGAGAAGCTGCCAGCCTGTCCTTGCCAAGCAATATTCAGAACTCTCTGCCCTGCTGATGGAACAGGAAAACAACCTATTAAAAATGTCCTACTTTCCCTAGAAAAGTCAGGGGTTGCTGCCAGGGGGTTCCTAAGCGGACTGCAGGACCTGGTCCCAGGAGGAAGTGAGGGCCGCCTACTGGCTCCCAGAAAGTGAGTGCCGGCTGTCCTACAGACGCACAGTCTCTGTGCTCCAACGAGCCCTCCGAAGCAGGGACCACATTGCAGGGTCCTGGCTCTTAGCAGGCATCCCTAAATGTTGCACGAGCCCCCACCACCTTTCCCAAAGGCTAAGCTGTCTCATCATCTTCTGAGGCCCTGCAGCTTTTCAAGGATTTTAATGTCTGCTTCCAAACTGGGCTGCTTATGGTGACCTAAGCTCGAGTCACACAGGGCTTCTCCCCTTGTTCCAGGCAGGCAGGAGGAAAAGAACCCGCACCACAGGCCTCCTTTCTGCACCAGGGCTTGAGTTCCACAGTAGACCCTCAGAGCAGGGGCAACTCAGGGGACTGAACTCAAGACACGCCACGTACTCCAGAGCTGCCTCAGCAGCCACAGTGGAACCGGAACCGTGGGGCGTTCTGTGGGAGGTTGACTGAGGGACAGAGGAACTCTTGTTCCCTTGTTCCAGAAGCCACAGCTCAGAACACTAAATTGGGGCACAGGAGCCAGTCTCACCACAGTCTCAATTTTCCAGACGATTCCAGACATGATATGTGAGCAGAGGCAACACAGACCTTTCAAGGACGGGTCTGGGCTGTCTGAGAATTTACAAGTACTTAGTTCACATTGTAACACAAATCTTTCAGGGGAGAGGGAGGCAGAGTCGAAAGATCAGGATCCTGAATTATCTGTTTTCCCTTCTTCTTTTCTCTTGTCAGTTCAGTGCTTGCCAGCTCCAACCCAGAAAACCCAGAGGAAAAGTTTCAGCTCTACATGCAGATTATCAACTTTTTTAAAGGCCTTGGCTGTGCAAACACTCAAGTAAAACAGGTAGGACAGGGTAGAGGACCGTGGTACCTCTGCCCACCTCCCTTAGGTAGCAGAAAGGGCTATGGGCAGCCCTCACCTGACCTCACCCCAATCATACCATGAGGGGCCACTGGGCAGGGACACTCTTTCATTCTCTCTGGCTTGCTCTATGGATGGTCACCTTCAGCCTGACGCATCCTGTAGAATGAACGGAAGATTTCCAGGGAACCAAGAAAGACAGAGTGGTGTCCTCTAGGGCAGTGGTCCGCAACCCCTAGGCCACAGATCAGTACCCATCCACGGGTGCTAGGAACAGGGCTACACAGCAGAAGGTGAGCGTGACCGCCTGAGCTCCACCTCCTATCAGATCGGCGGCGGCATTAGGTTCTCATAGGAACACAGACCCATAGTGAACTGTTCATGCAAAGGGTCTAGGTTACGCACTCCTTACGAGAATCTAACTAGTGTCTGATGATCCAGGTGGACGGTTTCATCCTGAAACCATCCCTCCTCTGTGGAAAAATCGTCTTCCATGAAACTGGTTCCTGGTGCCATGAAGGTTGGGCAGCCCTGGACCAGGAACCTTTTGAAGCAGGGACCAGATCCCAGGGACCTGACTCTCAGCAGGCATTCATAAATGTTCAGTGTGTGAACCCTTGACACTCTTCCAAAACGCTGAGCTGTTTCATCATCTTCTGTAATCTTCATCATCTTCAGTAATATTTGCTGTCAGCTTTTGAAGGATATTAATGTCTGTTTCCAAATTGTTCCACTTAGGGTGCCATGAGCAGTGGGAGTCCTGGTTAGGAGGACCATTTCTGGAAGCTTTTGTCAGGGTAGGGGGGTTACGCCTGAGCCGCCAAAGGGACGGGCTCTTTCAGATTCATAGCCAGGGATTTGTCTTTACTGATTTAGCAAAACTACAACTATTTAAAAGGTAAGTTATAATAATAGCAAATGTTTGTCTAAACATAGTCAGGACAGCTGTTCAGTACTTAGTCCTCTTCCAACTAAGTCTTCATTTCCCTCTGCTGGGACCACAGCGAATCCTCACGTGGAGTAAGAGCCTGTCCCTGCAATTTGTGTTCCCCTTCCCGCCAATCCTTGGGCGACTGTCCCCTGGAGCAGTTGTCCCCTCTTTCTCTCAGATGCAGTTAAATTAGCCTATCTGGGCTGGGCGCGGTGGCTCAAGCTGTAATCCCAGCACTTTGGGAGTCAGAGGCGGGTGGATCACGAGGTCAAGAGATCGAGACCATCCTGGTCAATATGGTGAAACCCCATCTCTACTAAGAATACAAAAAATTAGCTGGGCATGGTGGCGCGCGCCTGTAATCCCAGCTACACAGGAGGCTGAGGCCGGAGAATTGCTTGAACCCAGGAGGTGGAGGTTGCGGTGAGCCGAGATCGCGCCATTGCACTCCAGCCTGGGTAACAAGAGCGAAACTCCATCTCAAAAAAAATAAAAAATAAAAAAATTAGCCTATCTTACCAAGACTTTGAGAATAGACAAAAAGGACCATCTTTGCTTTGCCTCCTTCTCCACCCATGGTAGAAAACATATAATAAGCAGGGATTCTAGTATCCACACAAAGCAAAGGTGTGGCTAGGCACAGTGGCTCTTGCCGGCGGGCCGAGGTGGGCAGATCACTTGAGCCCAGGATTTCAAGACCGGTCTGGACAACATGGCAAAACCTTATCATTACAAAAAAATCCAAAAATGAGCCAGGTGTGGTGGTGCACACCTGTAGTCCCAGCTACTCGGGAGGCTGAGTTGGGAGGATCGTTTGAGGCTACAAGGTGGAGGTTACAGTGAGCTGAGATCACGCCACTGTACTCCAGCCTGGGCAACAGAGTGAGACTCTCTCAAAACAACAACAACAAAAGAAAGCAAAGATGCCAAACTTCAGTACTCCTAGATTCCTGATGCCTCGGTATTGCAAGAGCAGGGCCCAGGCATCTGCATTTTGAATCAACTGTCCAAGTGGCTCTGGGGCAGGAGGACTCAGGCTTTGATAGACTCTGGTGTAAACAGAAAAGTTTCATTCTCTTCTCAACCTCTGCTATTGTCTTCCCACTAAACAAAGGGCCCACATGATTTGCCCAGAGACTGTGGTCCCACCTCCCTGGCACTCTTGATCCCTATTTCCCTGCCCCTATCAGGAGAGCATGGTGAATGGGAACTGCTTCTCCAGGGCAGGAAAGGCTCAGTGTGGAGGTCGGCCCCACTATCAGGATGTCACCCTTGGGACCAGGTCCCACAGTCATTAAGATGGTTGACTGGGGTCAGGAGTGCCACCCGGGCCCGTGGGGATCAACCCTGATCTGCAGGGCTGCCAAGTTACAGGGGTCATTTTCTGCTGGGATGGAGAGAAACAGGAAGAGAAAAACCCCAGGAACATACTTTTAGGGAACAAGGTCATGGAGAGTCCCGAGGGGTTGGCTGGGATCACTGCTACAGTGTCCCTTTAAGGACTGAGAAACCCTTGCTAAGCAAACAGTGCTGCCGCTGTTTTTTTACCCAGGCTAGCATGCAGTCATGGCATGGTCTTGGCTCACTGCAACCTCTACCTCCTGGGTTCAAGCGATTCTTGTGCCTCAGCCTCCAGGATAGCTGGGATTACAGATGCACATCACCATGTTTGGCTAATTTTTTTTTTTTAAGTACAAACAGGGTTTCACCATGTTGGCCAGGCTGGTCTCAAACTCCTAACCTCAGGTGATCCACCTGCCTTGCCCTCCCTAAGTGCTGGGATTACAGGATCTCCCAAGTGCTGGGATCTCCAAGAGCTGGGCAGGGAGGGCCTTTGTGCTCAGGGCAGCCTGAACTCCCGCTGGTAAGAGAGGAATGCAGGAACTCAGGCCAGCCACCCCCGGTGGCTCACCAAGCCAGCTGCGTGAGAAAGAAGAAATACAGATTTTCAGAAGGGACTGCACATAGTAGGTCCTCAAGCAATATGTGCCAGTGCTAGCCAGCATGAGCCACCACGCCCAGCTGCAGTGTTGCTGCTTAAAAAAGAATCATCTCCTAATAGATAACCTATGTACATGGCATAAAATTTACAAGTTACCAAAAGATATACAATGGCTACTTAGTCTTCTGTCTCCCTTGCTTCCTACCCCATACTTTCCCCCAGAGGCAACTGAGGTGACCAGTTTCTTGTGTACTCATCCAAACAAACTCTGCAGATACTCATATTCTTTCAAGCACAAACAGTAGCCTATGATACACAGTGCTTTCTTTGCACTTTGCCCTTTGTAATAGTACATCCCATAGATAGAGCGCTGTCTCATTATTTTTGTTGGAAACCAGCTGCAGTGGTGTTTCATTGCTGGGAGCACCATGGAGCAGTGCACTGTCTTCTACTGATGAACATTTGGGTAAAGCCTTACTACATCCTCTGCCTCTCTTATGGGACCCTGGAAATCCCCAGGATAAAAAAGAAGCCAGTTCTGCTCTATCTCTTCTGGAGGTCACAGAGTGATGAAGACAGTGAAATGGAAATGGTACCTTCCCACTGAGAAGGAAGTGGGAACCTGGAGATGAAAACGCAGCTGAAGAGACGTAGGGTAGAGTCTGAGGGCTGGGCACACCAGAGCTGCAGGAGCCTTCCTATCTGCCTGGGGCCCAAGACCCACGGATGAAAAGTGAACCTCTTTCACCCTATGTCTTGCAGGAAGCATCCTTTCCTGTTGATGAAGAGATGATCATGTTGCAGTGCACGGAGACCTTTGACGATGAAGATTTGTAATGCAGAAGTGGGGCTGGGACGGGAGGGATGGAATGAGGTGGGCAGTTCCCAAGGCAGCTAAGGTTGCACGTGCCTTGGCCTCCAGGACCCTTTGGAGTGGGTTGTTCCAGAAGCATTTTGATGATTTTCTGATTATTATAATGTATAAGAGAAGTATGGCCTCGTGTTGGTCTCTCGGGGCTGTTTGGCATAAAGGGCTGGCCTGCTGCTATTGTGCTTTTATTAAGGAGGTACGAAGTACAGCTGGGGCCCAGGCCACGGGCTTTTCAAGGAGGACAGGCAGGGTCTGTCCTTGGAGGTGACATAATGCCAGGTACTTTCAGCATCTTCTGGGCACAGGATGGGTTCTAGAGAGTTCCAGAGGCCACCTGTTCATCCTGCACACTCTGAGAGTCAGGGGCAGTGCCGACCTCAACCCTGTGCTACAGCACAGCTGGGTGGAACCAGATACATCTGCTGCTCCTGGTAATAAAGTCACCTGAATGGGAATTGCAGTGAGGTCCCAGGCTTTTTTCTGAGGGCTTTCTGTGAGGCTTCTGGGCAAAGGGTACATACATGTCCCTAGGATTGGACACTGGGGGTGAGGGTGAATTTTATGTGTCAACTTGGCTAGTCTGTGGTACCCAGGAATTTGGTCAAACATTATTCTAGATGTTTCTGTGAAGGTATTGTTAATAAAATTAACATTTAAATCAGGAGACTTCGAGTAAAGCAGATGATCCTCCACAATGCTTCCTATCAGTTGAAGGCCTGAATCGAAAGAGACTGACCTCCCAGGAGGAAGCGGGAATCCCGCCAGCCGTCCGACTTTGGACTTGAACTGCGGCTCTTCCCAGCCTGCTGGCCAACCCTGCAGATTTTTAGACCTGTATCTTCACAACTGCATAGGTCCCTTCCTTAAAATAAAGACTTCATCTCTCTCTTTCTCTGTATTTACATGCATACACATCTTACTGGTTCTGTTTCTCTGGAGACCACAGACTAATTCAGGGTGTGCAGGAAGAATGGGCGTGCATGGCTCTTTACAGTTTTCAAGGCATCATAACAGCCCCTCCCCTCCACTGAAGCCCTCCCAAGCCTTGGGCTGTGTCATCTCCTAGAGAGAGTCTGAAACACAGGCCAAGTCTTAGGACACAGACCCAGTCCTGTGTGACTCCAAAGTGGCCCTTAGATGCATGAGCCCACACTCAAGGACTTCCCCTGGGGGTGTGCGGGGATAGGAGCTTCGCCAGCCCTTCGCAGCATACACATCACCACACCGAGTGGACAGATGGCGATCTGGGCAGGGAGGGCCTTTGTGCTCAGGGGCAGCCTGAACTTCTGCTGGTAAGAGAGGAATGCAGAAACTCAGGCCGGCCACTCCCAGTGGCTCACCAAGCCAGCTGCATGAGAAAGAAGAAATGCAGATTTTCAGAGGGGCCTGCACATAGCAGGTCCTCAAGCAATGTGTGCCAGTGCTAGCCAGCACCTCTCTCTTTGTAGCAAGCCCTGTCCTGATCCTATTTAGTCCAAGGCTGCGACTTCATTCCTCGAGCCATACCTGCCAGTGGCCCCTGGTCAGAGAGGACCTCAGCAGGATGTGGAAGTGTCCCTTCCCCCAACAACCTGGTGCTGGAGTGATGTCCCCACCTCTAGTCCTCAGCCCAACAGCCCTCTTGCTTCTCTCCTGCAGCCTTGGATATTGCTGTTTGTGGGGACTGCACGTCTGAAATCTGTAGGGCAGGCCAGGAGGCTGGAAACTCAGGCAGGTGTTGGAACTGCAGTCTTGAAACAATTTCTCCTCCCAGAAACCTCAGTTCTGTTCTTACGGCCTTCAGCTAACTGGGTGAGCCCCAACCGTATCGCCGAGGGTAATCTTGTTAATTGAAAGTGGACTGGTTGTAGATGTTAACCACATGTATAAAATGCCTTCACGACACCCCCTAAAGAAGTGCCTGATAAGATGAATGGATACTATAGCTCAGCTAACTTGACACATGAAACCAACGTCACAGGTACCCCTTGGGGATTTTTATGTTGTTATAACAGCTCCCTATGGAGGTTCGGCCTCTGTTGTCACTGCCAATTGATAGATAAATAAACAGCTATTTAGCTGAAGCCCCAAGTCATTTAATAGAAGAATCTCAGGTCACCTCACCTCTGTCTTTTTATCCCCAATAAGTTAATGAATGGAGAGCAATGTTGTTTTAAGGATAAAGACACAAAAAAGCTCTGCTGCTAAAGAATTAGGATGCAGAGGCTGGATGTGGTGGCTCACACCTGTAATCCCAGCACTTTGGAAGGCCGATGCAGGCAGATCATGAGGTCAGGAGTTTGAGACCAGCCTGGCCAACATAGTGAAACCCTATCTCTACTAAAAATACAAAAAAATTAGCTGGGCATGATGGCAGGTGCCTGTAATCTGAACTACTTGGGAGGCTGAGGCAGGAGAATCGCTGGAACCCAGGAGGCACAGGCTGCACTGAGCCAAGATCATGCCACTGTACTCCAGCCCAGGCGACAGTACGAGACTCCGTCTCAAAAAAAGAAAAAGGATGTAGAAATGTGAGACCAGCCCTCAGAGTTCGCTGTGTCAGCCACATGCATCACCTCTAGGTGATGGCTGGGAGGGGGACCACGGAGGTCAAGTGGAGGCAGGAAGAAGCAAGATTAGAGGTGAAGAAGGGAAGCTGAGAGGCCATGGCTCTAGCCACTGCATTATCAGAACCAGGATGCAGATTCTGACAGCAACCTTGCAATGTGCAGAAAAAGCTCCAACAGATAAATGCTTATTGAGCACAGATGGTGTGGGTGGGTGGTGGCTGGGCTGAGCTGACATTTAGTTTGGGTAACTCAGTTCCACCTCACGCTGATGGAATCAAGCTCATGTCATGAATTACCTCTCCTTTTACCCCTCAGCTACTTTTCCAACCTTGATTCTGAACAAAACAAGGCTTTGTGCTTTTATGGAAATGTCAGAAATCTGTTCCTTCTTGCATATGCTTCTCTTGCATATGCTGCCTCGTCCCTGAAGCTCTGAAACCACGTGCTCTGACCAAAAAAAAAAGGAGAGTACAGCTGAGGGAAGCTCGGGAGGCTCTTCCAGGACCTCTCTCGCTGTTCGTCCTGCTTGGGCTGCCTGGGGACAGCACGATATGAACATAAAGTACAGGAAAGCCCACTTGGAAAACCGAGCCTGGCTGCCTGGCAGCTGTTTGGTGAGAACAGAGGAAACGTTCTGAAGTCCTGGAGGTGTCAACCAAAGGAAAAGGAACAAAGGGCAGAATTGGACAGGATTTGAAGAGCTGCACGGGGTGGCAGGGGGTAGAGAAGCAGCAGGAGGGAGGATGGGCATCCAGGACTCCTGGAGTAGCTAAGCACAAGTCCTCAGCCCCCAACACATTTATTATAGCATGTTAGATGGGCAGGACCCTGCTAGTTTAAGCCTACCATGCCACACACTCACAAAACTCTTTTTTTTTTTTTTTTTTTTTTTTTTTTTTGATGACAGAGTCTCACTCTGTCACCAGGCGCCAAGCTGGAGTGCAGTGGCGCGATCTCGGCTCACTGCAAACTCTGCCTCCTGGGTTCAGGCAATTCTCCTGCCTCAGCCTCCCGAGTAGCTGGGACTACAGGTGCACGCCACCACACCCAACTAATTTTTTGTATTTTTAGTAGAGATGGGGTTTCACCATGTGGGCCAGGATGGTCTCAATCTCTTGACCTTGTGATTGACCTGCCTCAGCCTCCCAGAATGCTGGGATTACAGGCATGAGCCACTGCACCCAGCAAAAAGTCTTTTTTTAAGATAGCAGAAATAACAGCAGGTGTGTATAGACACACCTGCTGACATATGTTCCTGAAAGAAAGAGAAAACTTGATGATGCAAGATAGAGTTGCCGCAGTGAAACCTGTGAGTAGAAATCAGGGAATGGGCTCTGGAGCACAAGGGGAGGCAGCTTCAGGGAGGAGCCAGGCAGCTCATTCACCCAACAGGAGGGACAGCCAAGGGCAGGGGCACCTAAAGCCGGGAGCAGAGACTTGCAGGTGTTTGCCAGTTTCTCATCTGATTACTTCTTTACAGATTTCTCTGAAATAAGAAGCTGAGGCTGGGTTTGGTGGCTCATGTCTGTAATCCTAGCACTTTGGGAAGCCAAGGCCGGAGGATTGCTTGAGCCCAGCAGTTCAAGACCAGCCTGGGCAATATGGTGAGACTCTGTCTCCACAAAATAGTTTAAAAAATTAGCCAGGTGTAGTGGCATGTGCCTGTAGGCCCAGATACTCGGTAGACTGAGGCAGGAGGATCCCTTAAGCCCAGAGGTCAAGGCTTCAGTGATCTGTAATCACACTACTACCCTCCAGCCTGAGTGACAGTGAGACTTTGTCTCAAAAAAAAAAAAAAAAAAAGATGAGGACAGAGGTGGAAAGAGTTCTAGAAGAAAGAACAATGAGGGAGCAGTGTGCTTGGGGAAGGTTTTCTGTCGGCGGGCAGCTCTGAGGAACACGTGAAGTTCATGGTCTGAGTCTAAAACCAGTCACTCTGGCTGTGTGTTTCCTCCAGAGACGTTCAGCTGCACAAGTGCAGATGCAGAGTGAAGAATGATTTCTCATCAGTGTGAAGGTTTTGCCAGGAGGGTGTAAAGAATAGAGCAGGCTGAGGGCATTACAAATGTGAGAAGGTGCTTATTATGACTAACGGTGGCACGAGGCTGCTCCAGGAGGGAAGAGGGGACCAGAGGAAGTGAGAGGATGGTAGATTCAGATACGGGCCAAAGAGTTATTGGACGTGGGGGACTAGAAGTAGAGAGCTGGAAAAATAGGAGGTGGTGATCAGAGAACTGCTTGAAATTGAGGATTGTAGGAGGCACAGTTGTTGGGAATCCCAAAGGCGAGTCTGAGCTACAGCCACAGAATGAGTAACTGAGATGAACAAAGTCACACGGGATTCTTCTGGTGCCGCTTCCCTAGACAGAAACCTCTGTGACCAGTGGCGCCTCTGCCCAAGTTTTGCTCACAACTGCTGGGCTAGCTCTGCCTACTCGGCCTGGCAGGCTGTCCTCAGCTTGCATTACTGACCCAGATCTCATGCCCATCTTGGGTGAGCCAGGCATGGTGGGAGGTGTGTGAGTGAGCACAGGGTCCAGCCACAGCACACAGCCAGGCACACAAGCTACT